GCGGAGACATTGTATGCCAAGTATCGGTTCATAATAGCTCCAGAAGCGAATCATTCTTTTCTGGGTATACAAGGCAATTGACGTTCAAAGTCGGACTCACCTCATCGTGATTCCGGGAAACATATCGTCTCAGAAGCGACGTCTTTCCTTCTCGAAAATGCCATATTGATACCATTATGTAGTTTCATTAGTGACTATTCACCTCAACCCGGTCTCTGGGTTGGACATACCGCTACCCAAATCCCCCACTATCAGTGCCTTTTGTACGCCGTTGACCCGCTGCATGAAACCACGGCCGAATTATTACGATGGTGATACGAGGGCTTATCCAGAAATTAGCGGCCGTATCTTCGAATGGCTCCTTTGATGTGACAGGTCTGGTAAATGCGAGTAGCGACAGGGTCCAAGAAATGCCGCTGGTGGCGATGACCAGACCACAGCGCCCGCCTTCCACCAAGTAACGAACCCCAAATATATAACTATTATATAGAATTACCACTACAGGTCAGAAATGTATGGGGCTTAAACAAAGAGCGAGCCATCAAAGCGGTCGTGTTACGCCTGGACCATGACATGTTTGTTTCTCAAGCTACATAATGATGCACCCCGCTCGATTATTCTTCTTCCTATTAGGTGGTGGTAAGGTTGATCGAGTCGCTTGCTCAAAGACCTCGTGCACTCCTTCACCAGTTTTAGCGCTGCATTCCACATATGCGTACGCACCAGCCTGCTTTGCTTTTGCCTCGCCTTGTTCATAGCTGAATATATTGCTATCAGTCTCGTCATTCCTCAGATCCTTCTTCAGACTGACAACAATGAATGAGACAACCTGACTTGAACAGAAATGGAGCACCTGTGGAAGCCACTTGTCGCATATATTGTTCAAACTCGAGGGTTGTGCGATCGAGAAGCATAGGAGAATTGCATTCACATTGGAATATGTCATGGACTGCAGGTGAAAGTACGGATCCGATGTCTCCCAGAGCGCAAGTTCCGCGGTACCATGACATTCAATTTCGATTTCCTCCACAGGGTTCTCTATAATATAGTACGTAGGGGTTCCCTATGGGGAGATTAGTTGCATTCGGTCATAAATCTTGCTATTGGAGCAAGACCACAGAAATGCTGACCTCTATAGGATAGTAACGAAAAGCAACTCTCTGTATCAACGAAGTCTTACCTATTAGTAAAGAGAAATGATATGATCGTCAGTTGTGGACGAAACATCCTGTCAACGACGTACCGCACCGTGCATCACCAACAATAGCCAGCTTCCGTCGAAAATGAGGGACTGTCAAGACCATAACACGGCTTATCAATGATGTTACCCAGTCTCTTGTGCCGTTCGTAGAAGTATAGTTCGACGCGACGGTGATGAGGCTTGCTGCGTTCGGTTGCAACAATTCCAAGGAATGACTGGGAGTGGCGCTCTGCAAGAGATGTCCCCGAAGATGGGATACGATTATTCTATTTGAATGTGACGCGTATATCTCTATTCAGAGTCTGATGCAGGATGGTGTAAACAAGTCGGAAGTCGACCAACATCTTGCTTTGTTTACACCCACTGTCGAGTCGAGCTACGCTGCTGCCCAATGATGGTTAGTTACTAGGTGCCGAGACAACAATTGTGGTATTCTTTCTGATAGAACCAAGATATGCAACAGTGAAAAAGAATATCATTAAGAAGATAAAAACAAAGTTCTCATAGAATCGGATGAATAGGCTAGAAAAACAAAACAAAAAGCAAGCTTATTCGATATAACCTATGTACGTCCCCCTATGCCTCCCACCGAGTCAATAGTACAACTCAGGACCAGAAAATAAGGGCCCTTGTCTTTCTGGCTCTCAAATGATACCGCCCGTGTAGCACGCCGACACATTTCTGGACTCCCGGCCCGTTCCGTTCGCTGCATTCTGTCACATTAGGTATGGTCATAGAAGGACACATGTTCTATGTCGGGCACGGTGGTGCACCGACAATGATGCCAGTGCAGCTTCATTCAGGACCCGATCCACGCCTTCTCCTGTCTTGGAACTACACTCCATGTACTTCAACGCTCCGATGCTTCGAGCCACCTGATGTCCTTCCTCTTCACTGACCAGCCCATCGGATATGAGTCCGGGAATGGCTGAAGACGGCCCCCGCAAATCCTTCTTGCAGCCAACGAGAATAATCGGAACCTGAGGCGAGGAACAAAAGTGAGCGATCTCTGGAAACCATTTATCTTGTACGCTAATCAGGCTCTCCCGTTGGTTAATAGAAAAGCAAATGAGAATGACGTGAGAATTCGGATAGTTGAGTGGACGTAAACGTTCATATTGCGGTTGAGCTGAAGTATCCCATAATCCGAGCTCAATACGATGGCCATTTATGCCAAGTTCCAGAACACTGGCATAGTAGATTGTAGGGATATAAGACTGTGACAAGTCAGTTTCGTACTTTGCCATATCGAACGGAAATTATGATGCCAACTCTTGGTTTATAATCGCTCGTGAAGCGGAAAATTTATTTTGTAAGGGCCATAGAATCACAAACAGTCGCACTCACCTCTGAATACTTTTGTTCGTCAAATCGTCTCAGTAATGATGTCTTTCCTTGTTGAAGAACAGAACATTTATACACCGGTATAGCATTATTAGTGACCTTTTGATCCATTGAGATCCATCTTGTAAACATACCACAGGCGAAATCTCCTACTACTACCAACTTGCGTCGTATAGTTCTGGGTCGCTGCATGAAATTGCAACTGAGACTATTACGGACACTTTACAGAGCCTTGTCCGGGAAATTAACAAGTTCAGTTGGGAATAGAGCTTCTGCTGTGGCAAGCCTGGTTAACGAAAGTGATGGCAAGGTCGAGAAATGGACTGCCAGTAGTGACGACGAGACTAGATAAGAATGCATAGGCAAGGTAGAGTCTTTCAATATTAAACTATTCCGTTGAATTAACCATTGAGGGACAAAGTTATAGCAGGTCGATAAGTCATATATAAAGCTTATAACGTAGAGTGGTCGAGTGTGGACTGGACGTTGTAGCACTTTTATTACCCTTGAGCTACATAACAATACGGCCTTCTCGATTCTTCCTCTTCTTGCTAGTCGGTGGTAAGGTCAATCGAGTCGCTCTTTCGAAACCCTCCCAGAGCCCTTCTCCAGTTTTGGAACTGCATTCCATATACGCATGAGCACCAGCTTGTTTTGCTATTGCCTCTCCCTGTTCCCAGCTGAATACTCGACTAGCTCGTAGACCCTTTAGACCTACGACGACGAACTGGGTGACCTGACTTGAGCAGAAATAGAGGACCTGTGGGAGCCATTCGCCGCATATTTTGCTCAAATTAGACAGCTGTTGGATTGAAAAGCACAAAATAATCGCATCTACCTTGGAATGGGTCAAGAGGTTGAGATGCGAGGACTGGTCTCATGTGTCCCAGTCCCACAGAACAAGCTCCACAATATATTTGGGTGGAATTTGGATCACCTTCCTATAAACCTCGAGGATTTAATATGTAGGAGTATCCTGCCAAAAAGGTTTCAATTGTGACGAATCCAACATCAGAAAGATGTTCGTTTCTGCAGGGAAGAAACCAAGAGCAAATCTCTGTATCAACGAAGCTTTACCTATCAATGTGAGTAATGGAGGAGTTGATATCACGTCTCAGTTGTGAATGAAGCGTCTTGTCTACGACATACCGCATTGTCTATCACCAATGATTACCGTCTTTCGTCGAAAGTGAGGGAACGTTTCCAGCATAATCCAAGATCCTCAACAATTTAATGAACTCGTCTGTTCTGCTCGTGAAAGATGAAAGTCGTGACGGCGAGACTTGCTCCGGTGGCTTGTAATCAATGACTGAGCTCTGAGCCTTCTGTGCTTGCGCAAGGTGCCTCCGAGTTGGATAAGAGGTGCCTACGGTGTACGTATATCTATCCAGGATAGAGTGCAAGATGGAGCAGACGATTCGGTAGTCGACATGTATCTTGCTTTGTTCCGGTTATATTGCTTGGTCGAATTTCCTTGTAGCGACGATGACGAACCAATATTCGTCCAAATAAATGCACAAATTTGCGTTAACCAGGTGTTTCCCCCTAAAGGTCTCGGAACCGAGACAAGGACTGTAAAGCTTACTGGCACTGACAGCGCCAAGACATACAACAGCAGAAAGAAAGCATCGTTAAGAGGGTAAAAACAGAGCTGGTACAAAACAGAGTGAATAGGACAGAAAGACAAAAAAACCACGCTCATTCGATATAACCTACGTACGTCCCTCTACGCATTCTAGTGGAAAAAATTACAGCACGACGCACGGGCCATGACTCTTTGGCTTTTTAGATCCCAACAAAGCCGTCCGCGTGGCATGTTGGAACACTTCTCTGACACCTTCGCCTGTCCTCGCGCTGCACTCGATGTACATTCTGGCGCCGACCCTCTGGGCGACCGCGTTTCCTTGTTCGGTGGTCACGGGCCTCTGACCTTCCCTAGCGAGCTTTTCAAGGGTTGGCCTGTGGTTCCTTAGGTCCTTCTTGCATCCGATAAGGAGGTAAGGGACCTTGGGGTGCGAGCAAAAGTGCGTGACTTCGGGCACCCACTTTTCCATGACGTTGTCCAACGAGTCGGGTTGATCAACCGAGAAGCAGATGAGGATGACGTGCGAGTCGGGATAGGACAAGGGGCGAAGACGGTCATAGTCTTCTTGGCCTGCAGTATCCCAGAGGGCGAGCTCGATTCGCTTGCCATCGACTTCGACGTCGGCAACATAGTTTTCAAACACGGTGGGTATATAGTCCTAGATCACGATAGAGACATGTCAGCGTCCAGTGGCCAGTAAGCTTTACAGTCCTTGTCTCGGTTCCGAGACCTTTAGGGGGAAACACCTGGTTAACGCAAATT